TTAAAGGAAAATATTGCATGTTGTATAGAAAAAATACATACATACATCATCTAAACCGCTTATCCTTCTGGGTCACAGTGGTTTGGGTTGTACTTGGCACAACAGTCATGAGTTATCAGGGTGAACAACAGAGGCCTCAGCACACAGCCCTGAGGAACTCCAGTGTTCACGATGATGGTTTTAGAGGTGTTTCTTCCAACTCGTACTGTCTGTGGTCTGTCTGTGAGGAAGTCCAGTAACCAGTTGCACAGTGGGGAATCAATGCCTAATGGGCTGAGTTGATGCATATGTATGAATTTATTTTCAAAACAAAAAATGAAATAAAACATGCGTACAGCCAAATGCTCCAAAGCATCCCATTCCAATGAAAATGCTCTTCTACAGGGATTACACATGCAGCAATGGATGCATGTTAAGGTAGCTGCATTGACAAGTTAAAATTAAATAGTAGTATAGCTAAATATACATATATTGACAGTTGTATGCAAAAGATTTTCTAAGTACAAATAAGTTAACACATCTTTACAGGAAACACACTTCTGCACATTTTAATTCATCATTAAATATTTAACATATTAAGGAGAAAAAATTAAAAATTAAAAATTAAATGCGGCATGTGCAAAAGTAATGGCACATTTTATATTTTATGTTTTTTTCAATATGTTAAACTCACCAAATAAATAGAAATTATGGACTAAAATTTGGAGAAAAATGCCATATTTATGTGGGATATCTGTAGAGGATATGTTAACCTTTTTTTCTCTTAGAAAATTAATAAAATATGTAATTTGACCAGGGGTGTTTAAACTTTTGCATACCACTGTATATATAGTCCACAACAGCCTATGAATGGCTGTCTGAGTCCCTGCCGGACATTTTTCTGTCCTTGACATCCACTACTGAAATGTACATGTAAGTAGATGATGTTAGCGTGACACACCTAATTAAACGAAGAAACATCATCATCCTCCAGTGTAGGACTCACATATTAATAACAAAAGAAAACAAAATCACACATTCACTAAACCACATCATAACAGAGTGGCGAGTAATGGGTGTTTGAGGTAACCACTAAACACTAATAGATGCCAATTAAATGTACTCAAATGTGTATATGCTCTTATGCTCGTATTTCCCAGTGGTGTAAAAAGTACAGAGAAACTGCACTTAAAGGGGAATTTCACAGATTTTTGTATACTTTAATTTCTGCATCATTTAATCATTGCAGTGTTAACCAAGTTCTTTAGAATGATTTGCTGTGAAACAGTTCACTGAAGAAAAATGAACCAGGGATTGCAATGTGTACAACACAAATATAGTCATTTTAATCAGTGAATCTCTATGTGTCCTTGAGTTTTTATTTTTATTGTTGACAATGAGAAGAATTGTGTGCAATCCAAAATAGTAGGTCTTCCTTGGGGGCTGTTTTGCCTCACAACACCCTGCATATACCTCTCTGCCATGAATGTACACTATATTGCCAAAAGTATTCACTCGTCTGCCTTCACACGCATATGAACTTGAGTGACATCCCATTCTTAATCCATAGGGTTTAATATGATGTCAGCCCACCCTTTGCAGCTATAACAGCTTCAACTCTTCTGGGAAGGCTTTGCACAAGGGTTAGGAGTGTTTATGGGAATTTTTGACCATTCTTCCAGAAGCATATTTGTGAGGTCAGACGCTGATGTTGGACGAGAAGTCCTGGCTCGCAGTCTCCGCTCTAATTCATCCCAAAGGTGTTCTGTTGGGTTGAGGTCAGGACTCTGTGCAGGCCAGTCAAGTTCTCATCCATGTCTTTATGGACCTTGCTTTGTGCACTGGTGCGCAGTCATGTTGGAACAGGAAGGGGCCGTCCCCAAACTGTTGCCACAAAGTTGGGAGCATGAAATTATCCAAAATCTCTTGGTGCTGAAGCATTAAGAGTTCCTTTCACTGGAACTGAGGGGCCGAGCCCAACTCCTGAAAAACAACCCCACACCATGATCCCCCCTCCACCAAACTTTACACTTGGCACAGTGCAGTCAGACAAGTACCGTTCTCCTGGCAACCGCCAAACCCAGACTCGTCCATCGGATTGCTAGATGGAGAAGCGTGATTGGTCACTCCAGAGAACACGTCTCCACTGCTCTAGAGTCCAGTGGCTGCGCTTTACACCACTGCATTCAGCGCTTTCCATTGCGCTTGGTGATGTAAGGCTTGTAAAGAGATGTAAGGTGATGCATGCCTAGGTGCTTGGTTTTACACACCTGTGGCCATGGAAGTGATTGGAACACCTGAATTCAATGATTTGGATGGGTGAGTGAACACTTTTGGCAATATAGTGTATATAAAAATTACATTTCAGACCAAAACCTTATAATCCAAAACCTTTTTATCGTAAATCAAGGCATTAGGAAACATATTTGCAACAATTTCATGACTTTCTGTGAAGTAGCTTTTAGAGATCTTAAACACTCTAGATGTTCCTGTTACCGCCACTGCAAACAATTCTGACTCCATATGTTTTTCTAGAATGGAGCATTTCTCATCAAACCACTCTGAATGATTTTGTTTACACCTTAATGATTATTATGAACACACATTATGCAGAAACTTTGAAAAATCAGTGGAATTTCTCTTTTATTTAAAGTATGGGTACTGTATCAAAACCGTACACAAGTCAAATTAGAAGATTTAACATAGCCATCTTAGCATCTGTACAAACATCAAGGCTGTTAGAAAAGCAAGGTTTTATTTGATGAACACAAATTAAAATGTGGAAAACAGTAAAAACTTGAAAGAACCTCTACTGAACAGGTGTGTCCAAACTTCTTACCTCTTCTAGCTGCTTCCCTTTATGATTATTGTTCACATGTCCAAACCTATAAATGCATAGCCATAATTCTTCATGCACAACTGTTTCAGAAAAGGACCATTAAAGCTGTTCAGCATTCAACACTAGGCTCATTCTTTCCTGTATCAAGGATTTATCAAGTAAAAGGAAATACTGGTAAAAAAAAAAACATAGAGTGCATATTTATTTTCAGTCCTTAGAGAGGGATTTACTGTATTGTCCTGCTTCCCCCAGTCCCGGGGTCATTGGGCCAGCAGTAAATTGAAAGCATTGAAACACTGTTTTGATGATCAGGCTGTTCTGGCATGGCCATTTCCTGCAACTGTTGCTGTTACTGATAAACAAGATGTGACCCCAGCATACTGAACTCGGGTGTATGATTCTGTGGAAGCATAGCAGAATCAAAAATGCAATATGCAAAATGGCAATGTAATCCTAAGTTTTTAATCTTAAGTACGGGGTGATTCAAAAAGATTCATCTGATTTCAAAATGATTTATTTCACTTGTAAATCATTACAGATCAATGCAGTAAATTGTAAATGGTTTAAATGAGCATAAAGTTTATTATGTAATTGTACAAGGTCTCAGTATGAACCTCCTCCAGCTGTACAGACATCAACACCATAGTCACATTCATCCCATACTGGATTGAGCATGTCGGGTGTCGCTGCACTCACGGCTCTTTCAGTGCGATTTCGGAGATCATCCAGTGTTGTGGAACCAACGACGAACGCTCTGAGCTGTTGGAGGTTCACTGCCCACAAAAATCACACTGCACAGTTATGACGGATTCACTCTTATTGAAGTGGAGAACGCAGAACGCTTTCTGCTCAGGGGTCTCATCTCCTCTCAGACTGAAGGGAGCATCTTCCACTGACAGTCAGAAACTCTATGACCCCCTCTTTCAACTGGTATGTGATTGGTTCCTAGATGCCTCACGGTTGTAAAAATATGGCGCTTTGAAATCAGATGAATCTTTTTGAATCACCCTGTATTTAAATTTCCCACTTATACGTGCATATTTGGGCTCAAAATGACAAGTCAAATTGAATAATTGCCATTTATTTTACTACTATTAATATTTCATTTACACAGAGATTTGGATGCTTCATGAGTTTTGGATGCTTCATTTGATTTGTTGTCTTTCTTCTATTTTCAATGAAATATAGGGTTTAAATGATTTGCACATCATTGCATTTTGTTTTTATTTACATTTTGCACAGCATCCCAACTTTTTTGGAAATGGCATTGTAGATTAATATGTTTAATGTGATTATGAAATAATGGTATCAAAATGGTAAATAAAGGAAAAGGCTGATATAAATTAAATTTTAATTTTAATTTTAACTCATGAATTTGAATTAAAAAACCTCATGAAGCATCCAAATCACTGTGTAAATGAAGCATCAATGGTAGTAAACCAGATGCCAAATGCAAATGGAATTATTAAATTTCAATTTTCATTTTGAGCCCAGACTTGGATGTATGAGTGGAAAATACAACTTCAAACTTAGGATTACACTGCCATTTTGCACAGTACATTTTTATTTTATTTTTGATACTGATATACTTTCATATGCTTCAGTGTCAGTGTGACGGCTGTGATAATGCTGTCTGTTTAGAAAGAACACTTCCTTCATGAAGTTGGCATAAAAAGGTCAACTTATTATTATGCTAGATGCTAGATATGCTATATATATGCTATATTTGCACAAAAATACCTTTCCTACATCTTTCAAGCAAAAAACACAAAACTTTCTGCAGGATTGTAGAACTTATGCCCAATAGGTTATCTTTTCAACCAATATGACAGTGTTCATGCATCATTTGTTCAAACACAGTTTTTTCCATATTAATGAATGGAGGAATGCTTAATATCCAGAAACTCACGACTCATTTAGAGTCACACTTATAACAATAATATATAACATATAATGCCTCTCATTCCACCACGGTCAGTATGTACTCTGTAGCCAACACAACGATGTTGTGGTTTAGCAACATCGTAGCTACTTGTGATTACTGTATAAACACAATTGTGTTATCAAAAATCCTGTCACCTCAATGTCACCTCAGATTCCAGGAAGAACGGATGCAAGCCAGGCTGGAGGTGGAGTGCCTATTTAAATACAGAATCACAACAGCTCTGAGCTCAGAACCAGACAGTTCTCTGACTGAGACGCATCACCTGTACTGAGATATATTAAACATAGCTAAAAGGATTACATCGCTTACAATGGTAAGTACATGGAAAGCAGCTCTTATGATGTCCTAATCCATTTTGCCTCTTATTTGCTGGACATATAGAACATTTAAGGTCGATAGAACATTAATTTCACTAAAACTCTGCTTCATTTTTACAGGACTTTGACAAGACAGGCAACTTACGGTTTCTGATCTCCTGCATCCTCTTTATAAGTAAGAAATACTCACCCGTTGAAAGTCATAGCATGTGTTGGATGTAATTTGGAGTACAGTAATGAACCTGAATGAAAGCTTTAACAAACTCCTCTCCTTTTGCTTCCTCACACAGTGTTACCTCAGTGGACCCCAGTAACAGGCTGGTCCTACCATCACTCTAACGGCACCATGGACTGGAATACTGCTCGTCAGTGGTGTAGGGACCGCTTCACGGACATGGTGGCCATCCAGAACCACGGTGAAATCAACCACCTCAACAGCATCCTTCCCCGAGTGAGCGGATACTACTGGATCAGCATTCGCAAGATCAACAACAGCTGGACCTGGGTGGGCACTAACAAGACAGCAAATTTTGAGAACTGGGCGGAGAATGAGCCTAATAACAACATGAAAGATGAGGACTGTGTGGAGATCTACATAAAGAGGGGAAAGGATGACGGCAAATGGAACGATGAGTCCTGCACAAAGCAGAAGACTGCACTTTGCTACACTGGTAAGTGGACTCAGAAATGACAAATAAGAACAGTGGTTATTTCAGAAACACTAGGATCCTTTGAATAATAATGCCACAGAGGACACACTTGTTTGGTTCCCTTGAGCAGTGGTTCTCAAACAGTCCTTTTGCTCTAACCTATTTAGAAAGCATATGAAGGAGGTGTTGTCTGGGGGAGCTGCCTGAGGACCAGTGTGAGAACCACTGCAACAACAAATTTTGTTTTTGTGGTTTGAGCATTTCAAAGAACCATCCATTGAAAGGTTCTTTACAGAATGAAAAGTGGGTCTTCTATGACATTACTCCAAAGAACCTTTCTAAAGAGTGAAAGAATGTCAAATGTGTTGATTGATTGACAAAAGATTGATACTACCAGTAAATCATCTTATCAATGATATGCAACCATAGGGGTAAAATCACATTTTGGATTTCAAGTATTCCCTAGACTCAACACAAGCAATCCAGCTCATCAACACATTATTGAGTTCTTCATGAGTTAAATCAGGTGGGTTGGGGAAAAAGTTGCTGTGGGTCACCAAGAATAAGAAACAGTGCTTTAGTATCAAGAGAAGAATAAATAGCAAATGCTAAATTAAAAAGTCCTTTTTTCTCTCAGCATCCTGCAAGAAAGACTCCTGCAGCTACCACGGAGAATGTGTGGAGACAATCAACAACCACACGTGTGAATGCTTTGAGGGCTTCCATGGAAAAGAGTGCGAGCACGGTACGTGGCAGTGGTCAGAACATTGTCCAGAGTAACTTCTATAAGCCACCTACAGGGACAGTTCCCAACTTTGAGAGCCCAAACCGTAGCCACAGACTTTCTACTACTACCTGGAAGGTAGAATCTTTTAATTGATTGTTTCTTTTCTGCAGTTGTAAAATGCAAAGCGGAGGAAATATCTGCTCCTGACCATGGCAGCGTCCACTGCGTTCCCCCTAATGGTAATTTCTCGTATGAGTCTCGGTGCGAGTACTCCTGCGATGAGGGCTACCAGGCTGTCGGCCCACAAACAACACGGTGTGCAGCCTCAGCAGCTTGGTCAACCAAACCACCAACCTGTGAACGTAAGTAGATTTAGTGTGGTCCCTGTTTGAATAAAACACAAATTTCAGACACAATTTTCATAGATCAAATTCATATCATGCCCTCAAATGAATAGACCATTCATAAAGTACTAACATTTCAAATATAACTGTTAAATCTCTTGAACTTTTATTTAACTCACAAAAGTACAAATAAATGACTTTTTGTGTTTTGTCTAACCAACTTGATTGTATTTTGCAAATATGAACAAATTTTGTATTTGATGCCTGCAACACATTTAAAACGTTGGAAAACAACAAGACAAAACAAGAGTGAAAAGTCTATGGACTATACAAGTTACAACATTCCACAATAAGCAAGTGCATTGGTAACAGGTGAGGGTAACATGATCAGTAAAAAGGACCATCCACCAAAAGCTCAGTCTTTGCAAGCAAAGATGGGTTGTGAATCACCACTGTCATGAAGGAACTGTCAAACAGTTCAAAAAGAACTTTTCTCAATGCAAGATTACAAAGAACTTAGGTCTTTCACCATCTACCGTACATAATACTGTAATAAGTTTTAGGGAATCCGGAGAAATCTCTATCTGTGTAGAGCAAGGCCAGAAACCACTGTTGCATGTGTGTGACCTTCAAGCCCTCAGACAGCACCGCATGGGAAAACGTAATGCTACTGTGTTAAAAACAGCCACAATGGCATCAGGAATACTTCAGAAAACTGTTGTCTCCTAACTCAGTCCATAGCTGCATCAAACAATGCAACTTGAACCTCTATTATGCAAGAAGAAAGCCAAACATCAATTCTGTGCAAAAAGGCTGACCAGTTCTCAGGGCCTGAGCTCATCTTAGATGGTTTGAAAGACAGTGGAAATGTGTGCTGAGGTCATATTAAATAAGTATGTTTCAGCTTGTTTTTGGGAAAAACAGATGTGGAGTTCACCGTGCCAAAGACAAAGGGGACCGTCCAAACTTTTATCAGATAAAGGCGCAAAAGCCAACATCTGTTATGCTATGGTATTTTCATAGATCAAATTCATGTCGTGCATAGACAGTTCATAAAGTACATATGAAAGCTTATGCAACATGAGACACAGCACAAAAAGACTAGGTTTAAAATCACAGAGTGAGCCTTTGAGAAACCTACATTATGAACAAATTACTAGTTCACAAGACTTGTTTTAAGCTGGGTGCAAATCAACATGACCAACAATATCTGACTTTTCTGTGTAGTGAAAATCCTTTTCACTAACTGAACGATCACCAATGTATACATATATTTTTCCAGCTATCAGATGCAAGTTGCCAGACATGCGAGCTCACCTAAACTTTAAATGCAGAAGAAGCTCAGACAACAGCACAGTCAACTCAACCTGTTACTTCAGCTGTGATGCAGGCTATGGGCTTCAAGAGGTAGCAAGCACCAATTGTACAAACACAGGAGAATGGAACACAGCCATCCCAAACTGCACAGGTACAATAGAATATCACTCTTTCATTTCTTTCTGCAGTCTTGTTTTGCCATCATGGGGCCATAAGGAGTGTAGGTTATTAACAAAGTATTTGAGTAGTCATCATTTACTAGTATTAAAAATGATAATAATAAGTTTGAAAATTGGCATTTCAAATATGGGCTTTATGAAAACTCACTGACACCAGCCTTATTGTTCCCATCCTGCTACTAACAGTAATTGATGCTTAATTTTAGTATGTTTATGTAGAGCTCCTGGATCAGCGTCGCCACAATCAACAATAATAATAAACCCTTCTTGATATTGTCTTCTTGTGATTAGTTTATCAATTTGAGTTTAACTCTTCAGGTCACTGATGTTCGGCCAAAAATCAAACACAGATCTTCGCTATTATTTTATGGCTTGTCTGTCGGTTTTATCAGCTGCAGCTCGAGCTGCAGGAACGAAACAAGAGCAAATGAGAGTCAGACGCTCAAACTGGCCGATTATATTGACAGTATTCAGTGCTGACGTGCTACTAGAAGAAGAGGAAAGTTGGCTCTACAGATGAATTCCCTCGTTTGATCATGAAATGCGTCCCACCAACAGTGAACTGAACAGGGTTTGGATGGAAGTGGACTGAGGGTTTTTGCCGGACCGGTTCAGCTGTTCAATGCGGACCTGAATATGGACAACAACATTTATTACAACCACCATACTTTATTTGCCAGGAGCACTGCTGTGTCTGATCCACTCGTACCAGCACAACACACACTAACACACCACCACCACGTCAGTGTTACTGCAGTGCTGAGAATGATCCACCACCCAAACAGTACCTGCTCTGTGAAGGTCCATGGGGGTCCTGACCACTGAAGAACAGGGTAAAAGGGGGCTAAAATACGTCAAAATAAATGCTGGAAATAAAAACTATAGTGTATGGTCGCCATGTGTAAAAAATACGCTGCAAGAAGGAGGAAATCCCTTTGGGAGAAATAACCATAGGAAATAATGGATCTGAAGTTCTTTAAATAGAAATGTAGCATACGTGACACACGTCATGTGCTAAATAAAATATCCTTTTTTCTCTCAGCATCCTGCAAGAAAGACTCCTGCAGCTACCATGGAGAATGTGTGGAGACCATCAACAACCACACGTGTGAATGCTTTCAGGGCTTCTATGGAAAAGAGTGCGAGCACGGTACGTGGCAGTGGTCAGAACATTGTCCAGAGTAACTTCTATAAGCCACCTACAGGGACAGTTCCCAACTTTGAGAGCCCAAACCATAGCCACAGACTTTCTACTACTACCTGGAAGGTAGAATCTTTTAATTGATTGATTGTTTCTTTTCTGCAGTTGTAAAATGCAAAGCGGAGGAAATATCTGCTCCTGACCATGGCAGCGTCCACTGCGTCCCCCCTAATGGTAATTTCTCGTATGAGTCTCGGTGCGAGTACTCCTGCGATGAGGGCTACCAGGCTGTCGGCCCACAAACAACACGGTGTGAAGCCTCAGCAGCTTGGTCAACCAAACCACCAACCTGTGAACGTGAGTAGATTTAGTGTGGTCCCTGTTTGAATAAAACACACATTTCAGACACAATTTTCATAGATCAAATTCATATCATGCCCTCAAATGAATAGACCATTCATAAAGTACTAACATTTCAAATATAATTGTTAAATCTCTTGAACTTTTATTTAACTCACAAAAGTACAAATAAATGACTTTTTGTGTTTTGTCTAACCAACTTGATCGTATTTTGCAAATATGAACAAATTTTGTATTTGATGCCTGCAACACATTTAAAACGTTGGAAAACAACAAGACAAAACAAGAGTGAAAAGTCTATGGACTATACAAGTTACAACATTCCACAATAAGCAAGTGCATTGGTAACAGGTGAGGGTAACATGATCAGTAAAAAGGACCATCCACCAAAAGCTCAGTCTTTGCAAGCAAAGATGGGTTGTGAATCACCACTTTGTGCTAAATGTCATGAAGGAACTGTCAAACAGTTCAAAAAGAACTTTTCTCAATGCAAGATTACAAAGAACTTAGGTCTTTCACCATCTACCGTACATAATACTGTAATAAGTTTTAGGGAATCCGGAGAAATCTCTATCTGTGTAGAGCAAGGCCAGAAACCACTGTTGCATGTGTGTGACCTTCAAGCCCTCAGACAGCACCGCATGGGAAAACGTAATGCTACTGTGTTAAAAACAGCCACAATGGCATCAGGAATACTTCAGAAAACTGTTGTCTCCTAACTCAGTCCATAGCTGCATCAAACAATGCAACTTGAACCTCTATTATGCAAGAAGAAAGCCAAACATCAATTCTGTGCAAAAAGGCTGACCAGTTCTCAGGGCCTGAGCTCATCTTAGATGGTTTGTTTTGACACAGGCGCAGTGTCGAAGTCCAGCACTTAATAGCCCTCATTCTATGGCAAATTGAAGCCAAAAAATGAAGTATATACACCACAATTTGTAGTCTGTAATCACCTGCTCATCCAGTCTGAAATCAAGGGTATTAATAGGGACTTTGACCAGTGACATACTTTTCTAGAAAGACACTAAGATACTGGAATGTTGGAACTTTACACTAGATGTTGCAACAATACTGTGAGGACTTGATTGCATTCAGCCACAAGAGCATTAGTGAGATCAGGTACCAATGTTTGATGATTAGTTCTGCAGAATCACAAACTCATAAAAAGTATTTAATTGCTCCTGAGAACACAGTTCCACTGCTCCACAACTGATTCCTGGGGGGCTTTATAAGCCCACAGCTGAGGTTTGGCGCGTGTTGATCTTAGAATCATGTGCAGCTGCTCCAGAGCGTCCAATTCTATTAGCAATGCTCTTCCACAGAGATTAATCAAGCAGCAATGGATAAACTCTAAGGTAGCTGAATTCACTAGTTAGAATTCACTAAACAGGGGGACACTGACAGCTGTATGTAAAAGCTTTGGGTACCCCTGGTTAAATGATATGTTTTATTGATTTTCTAAGTGAGAAGTAGTTGACCTATCCTCTACAGAGAACACACTCCCGTACTGTTTATTTGCTTGATGTATTATGTTAGAAATAAAAAGAAAAAAAAAAAGGTGCCTGTGCAACAGTGATGGTAGTATTAATTATTTTATGTTTTATTTTGTTTGTATATTAAACTAAAAAAAAAAAACTAATGGAAATGTAGAGATGTAGAGATTTCCAATAATTTATTTAAATATATACCATATTTAAGTTTTTTTTATCCGTTTTAGTAAAAGTATGGGTACTGTATCAAAATTGTACACAATTAAAAGTGGAAGAATGGAGCCAAAAATATACTTTAGTAAGAAAGTATCAACATCTCAACATACTCAACTCATGTAGAGGATGTGTTAACTTAGTTTTTTTTTACTTAGAAAATCAACAAAACATGTAACTTGACCTGGGGTGTCACTTTTGCATACAACTGTATGTATAGTTCACAACAGCCTACACGGGTTGTTTTCTGTTAAATGTAGAAGAATGTACTGACTCAGTTTACTTTACAGTGGTGGTGATAGGAACCAGAGATTGTGATGTGTACAACACAAGTATAGCCATTTTAATCATTTAAATCTTAACATATCTTCTAGATTTTTACACGTAATATTGATAATGAGAAAAACAGTGCAATCCAAAATAACGCATCTTCTTTGGGGATTTTTTGCCTTACAACACCCTACATGTACCTCTCCACCACGAATGTGTTTTAATAAATACATTTTAGGCAGAAACCTTATCCTAAAACTGTTGTAAATGTCTCAGGCATCAAGAAACATATTTGTAACCATTTCATAACTTAATGTGACAAAGCTTTTAAAGCCATTAAATGCTTCAGATGTCTGGTTCCTAGCACCACCACTGCGAACAATTCTGACTTCGTAAGATTTTCTAGTATAGAGTATTTCACAACAAACCACTCTGAATGATTTCGTTTACATTTTAAAGATTATTACAAATTAACATTATGCAGAAATCGCACTGAAAGAGCCGTGAGTGCAGCGACACCCGACATGCTCAATCCAGTATGGGATGAGTTTGACTATGGCGTTGATGTTGTCTGTACAGCTGGAGGAGGTTCATACTGAGACCTTGTACAATTACATAATAAACTTTATGCTCATTTAAACCATTTACAGTTCACTGCATTGATCTGTAACGATTTACAAGTGAAATAAATCATTTTGAATCACCCTGTACTCATCCTAGCATCTGTACGAACTTCAAGACTGTTGAAAAAAAGCAAGATTTAATTTGTCGAACAGAGTAAAACAGTAAAACTAGGAAAACTTAATTATAGTTATGTGTGTTTAAACTTTGACTGGTAGTGTATGTAAAAACAGGTGACAATTGAACAATTTTTCACAGGGTGTTTTTGGCCACTTTGCCCAAGAACGAACAGGTCTAATTTCACAAAAAACCTAAGACCTCCCTTACTTCCTTTAGCTACTTCCCCCTAAGATGATCATCCACATGCTGTGGATATCCACAGTTTTCATTTGCACTTTTTCAAAAAACCTATAAATATATAGCCATAATTCTTCATGAGTAACTGTTTAAGGAAAGAGCATAAGAGCCATTAAACATAATGAAAAAGGACCATTAAAGCTGTATCTGCTTTCAAAACCGGGCTCATTTTTCCTAGATTGAGGATTTGCTAAGTGAATCCAAACACTAGCAATGACTTAGACCACATTTTGATTGGGATCAAAAACGATCCATAAAGAGGGATTTACTGTATTGTCCTGCTTTCCCTAGTCTAGGTGTCATTAAGGCCAACAGTATTTTGAAAGCATTGAAACACTGTTTTGATGACCAGGCTGCTCTGGCCTGGCCTTTTCCTGCAACTGTTGCTGGTGCTGATAGACAGGATGTGACCCCAGCGTACTGAACTTAAGAGCTTTTACATAAAACGCTTCTGATGTATGATTTAGTGTCAGTGCGATGGTTGTGATAATGCTTTCTGTTCGGACTTGGATCATGAAGTCAGCATGAAAAAGTTGTTCACATTCTTCATATTGTTATGCTATAAATTTGCAAAAAAATTACCCCTGCTACAGCTTTAAATCTGCTACCACACAACTTTCTGCAAACCTGTAGACCCTATACTCGAATGAATTGCATGTGCTTGTGATTCTGCCGCAAGAAGTTCTCTTTGTTAAACACCACTGAATGACTGAACGCATGGGGGGAGGTCACCACCAGCCATAGGCTTCACCTTGACAGTAGACCAACCCCCAACACAAAACACACTAAAAACTCACATGTCTTACTCTCAAACACAGAATAACAATGAACAAATACACATCTTAAACCAATGAACAACAATCAAAGTGTCCACTTGCACTTTTTCCCATCTGCTGCACCGGATCTCACTGTTCACTGCTAATGGGCTTTTCATTATGGAAATGAAGGAACCATACTGAACATAACTGGGCCAGTAAACAATCTGGTATGCTGTTGCACAGAAGCGTACAATGAGACTAAAATACAGAGGTTTGCTTTCAATGCTTTTTTTATGCTGGTGACTGACCTGAGCTGGATGACAGTTGCCTTCCAGTCATGATGTGCCCCTCTCGGGGCATGAGCACACTTGATCGCAATAGAGATGCTGCCAAGCCTGTGATGACAAGCACAATGAGCCATCTGCCGTCCACGCTGCACTCTACCCACAGCCCACAGCCACCACTGCACTCCTGGCTTGTGTCCTGTTTCTCTGCAATGCCGACTTACCTTCAATGGTTTCAATTTCGCTTTCATCTGTCTTCCTTTCGCCAGCAGAACCACCGTGCCTCGGCATACCACCTCGAAACTCGCCACGCCAGGCTTGCCGTCAAGGTGTGCTCCTTCCATGAGCCTCCTGGCATGGCCATCAGCATGGCTGCGCTTCATGAGCTTCTTGACAGCAGTGCAGCCAGTAGCTCGTCATTATAATATATTATTTCACCACAGTCAGCATACACTCTATACACTCTGGACACTCCTCTTATATCACCCTCATAAAAATATTCTAGCAACATCTTAGCAAACACCTGAGATAGCATAGCGACTGCATACCAACACATTAGCAACCACCTGGGACACCACAGCAATAGCCTAGCAACTCTTTAGCAACCACCTCTAATACCATAGCAATGGCCTAGCAATCACCTGGCATAGCATTTAAACAACGTAGCAACGCCTTAGCATCCACCTGGGATACTACAGCAATGTTTTAGCAACAACTTAGTAACCACTTGGTATACCATACTATACCATAGCAACAATAAAGCAACATTATGGCAACTGCTTGGAATTACAATGTAAACACAATTAAGTTATTAAAAAAAAAAATCAATGTTCTGCAACTGCTTTGTCAACTTAAAATACATTCACAAACTTATTGATTATTGAGTGACCGAGTGACCATACACACTACATTTGACATTGTAAATGATTCTTGAGTGGTAATGAATTCACTCTTCAGTCACTTAAGCAAATAATTAAGTTGTTTTTACTTAGTAAAATGAGTCA